ACCTTGCTCAACTTGCCGGCACAGATTTCTAATACTTGGGAGACAGGTCAGACATAGAAGAATATCTCTCAGCAAGACCGGACGACGGTAAAGAGAGAGATGGATGGGATGTTGCTGACTGGAAGCAATGCAGAAAAGACAAGACAGCTGCATTTCCCACTCCTGTTATGTCTTTTTCTGAAAAGCCAGCTGAACCTTTGACTTCACAATCCTTTTGAATAAACCTCTTGAATGCCCGGGGGGGGGGGGGGGGGGGGCTCCCATGTCATCAGAAAAATCGAATCGGCATCCTGATCGGACTTATTGATCTAACTAAACAGGGCTGGAGACTGGAAAGCAGCTCGGTTAAAAATCGATCTGCAATGGTACGGGAAATAACTTTTCTGACTCTTGAGTAAAGCAAGTGTGAGGTCAGGGGACCCAGAGACTGATGGGGGACAAAAACCACCTTCGCCCGCTCCATCACCCTCTTTTCTATGAAACCTGCAGTAAGATTTTACTTAAATGCACTCTAAACAGCTTCGGTCATGCAGTGTTTGGATCAATCCAGAGAGCTCTTGACTCAAGAAGGGCTCCCTGGCATTCATTACGTTGTGCCATTTCCGGGGTCAATTTGCCCCAGTCTGGAAACCATGAATCCCTATGAGAAACGACTTAGGGAACTGGGTCTGTTCAGCCTGGAGAAGAGACGGTTAAGAGGGGATATGGTAGCCATGTTTAAATATTTGAAGGGGTGTCCTATTGAGGATGGAGCAAGCTTGTTTTCTGCTGCTCCAGAGAATAGGACCCAGAACAACGGACGCAAACTACAGGAAAAGAGATTCCATCTCAACATTAAGAAGAATATCCTAAGAGTAAGAGCTGTTTGAACACACTCCTCAAAGAGTGGTGGAGTCTCCTTCTTTGGAGGTCTTTAAACAGAGGCTGGATGGCCATCTGTCGGGGATGCTTTGATTGAGAGTTCCTGCATGGCAGAAGGGGGTTGGACTGGATGGCCCCTGAGGTCTCTTCCAACTCTAGGATTCTATGATTCTAAGAAGACACAGCCCTTGAAGTCAGCTAAATAAAACCAGTCCCCCTAGAGTCATGCCATCTGAACTATTTTAGTTCCAAGAAGACTTTTTCTTTTTGGCAGAGTATGGGCAAGGTTTTCTTTTAAAGCCAGTATCCTCTTGGTGACATAGGCCAGGAGAACTGGATCTTACCCTTGCATTAGTACTTGGAGTGTCATTGCACACAGAATCGCAGAATTATACAGCTGGAAGGGTTCCCAAGGGCCATCGAATCCAAACCCCTGCCATGCAGGAAATCTCAATCAAAGCAACCCTGACAGATGGCCATCCAGAAGGAGACTCCTCCATCCTCTGAGGACATCTTTTCCAGCGTCCAACTGCTCTTACAGTCAAGAAACTCTTCCTAACGTTCATTCAGGTGGAATCTTTTTTCTTGCAATTTGAATCCATTCGTTCATTGCCGAGGCAATGCAGAAATGATGCAGTTTGACACCACTTTAACTGGCATGGTTCAACGCTATGGAGTTCTGGAAGTTGTAGTTTTGTGAGCTATTTAGCCTTCTCTATTTAGCTCTGATGCCACAGCAAACTAAAAACCCAAGGATTCCATAGCATTGAGCCGTGGCAGTTAAAGCGGTGTCAGACTGCATTATTTCTGCAGTGCAGATGCAGCCCTAGACTCTGGAGCAGATGAAAACAATTTTGCTCCATCTTCCACATGCCATCCCTTCAGGTATTTAAAGGTGACCATCCATCATGCCACCCCTTAATCTTCTCTTCTTCTCGCTAAAAATGCCCAACTTCCTAAGCTGGGAGATCTTGTAGCTTCCGTAGACGTAAGTCTACTTCCTCAGATGCATTTGGTGACTTTAGTCTAGGAAAGCTCATGCTGCCAACTTCTGTCTTTCAGTTAGTCTCTCTACATACTGATTCTACAGACTAACATGGCTATATCTTTGAATTCTTCCTAAAGAATTTGGGATATCTCATGTGATTTTATTGTTGTAAGCTGCCCGGATTGGGTCCCCAAAGGGCGGGATATAAATAAATGTTATTATTATTATTATTATTATTATTATTATTATTATTATTATTATTATTATTATTATGAAGAAGAAGAAGAAGAAGAAACTGGGTAAGAAATAAGTAGATTGAATATTTATTTTTAAACAGGTGTATCTTAGCTTGAGAGCTAGCATGGCATAGTGGTTTGAGTGTTGGACCATGACTCTGGAGACCAGAGTTCGATTCTCAGCTCAACCAGGAAACCCATTGGGTGACCTTGGGCAAGTCACATGCTCTCAGCCTCAGGGAAAGGTAATGACAAACCTCCCACGAACAAATCTTGCCAAGAAATGACCATGATTGGGATGCTTTAGGACTGCCATACATTGGAAACAATGTTGAAAGCACACAGTGACAACAACAAATAGCTTGCCCTATCTCATGGGATCTTGGGGTGATGGATAACAAAATCAATTCAAGTTTCCTCCATCTGTGCAACAGGCATATCTTTTGAGGAGGGAACTGAAAGTTGTTGTGTTGTTGTTGTTGTGTGCCTTCACGTCGTTTCGGACATAGGACAACCCCATCACAGGTTTTCCTGGCAAGATTTGCTCACAGGAGGTTTGCCATTGCTGTCTCCTGAGGCTGAGAGGGTATGACTTGGCCAAGGTCATTCAGTGGGTTTCATGGCCATGCTCTGGTGTCACGGCAAACTACAAATCCCAGGATTCCATTGCATTGAGACATGGCAGTTAAAGCGGCATCAGACTACATTATTTCTGCAGCGCAGATGCAGCCCTAAACTCTGGAGCAGCTGAAAACAACTACTGTCTCCTGAGGCTGAGAGCATGTGACTTGCCCAGTGGGTTTCATGGCATGGGATGTGTCCAGTGGGTCACCCAGTGGGCTTCATGGCCAAGCTCTGGTGTCACAGCAAACTACAAATCCCAGGATCCCATAGCATTGAGACATGGCAGTTAAAGCGTCATCAGACTGCATTATTTCTGCAGCGCAGATGCAGCCCTAAACTCTGGAGCAGCTGAAAACAACTGCTGTCTCCTGAGGCTGAGAGTATGTGACTTGCCTAGTGGGTCACCCAGTGGGTTTCATGGCCAAGCCAAGAAATCTGGGATGGCTCTTAGAGCAGAGGTGGACAACGGTCCAAAACACACTACAGAAATAATCCAGTGTGAGACCGCATTAACTGCCCTCGCTCAATGCTAGGGAATTCTGGGAACTGTAGTTTGGTGAGACAGTCTGCCTTCTCTGTCAGAGAGTTCTGGTGCCCCAATAAAGTACAAGTCCCAGGAGTCCTTAGTAATGAAACAAGGCAGTCAAAGCAGTCTCGAACTGGATTATTTCTGCAGTGTGTTTTGGACCAATATGCCAACCTTTAGATGATGCTGGACTGCAACTCCCATCAGGTGGGCTATAAACCACCAGCACTCACCTGGGTTGCTTTGGCCTCCAGAATTGCTATCTTCCAGGCTCTGCAACAAAACCAGAATAGCATCAGGTCAGTAAATGGCGTTAGCAGAGACAGAAACTTGAGAAAGCACCCCTTTTTGCAAACCCCCCGTTTTTGCAGAAAAATAGAAAATAAATTTATTACGGCAAATAGCCAGCATGCAGAAAGAAACCCCAGGGAGCATGTATATCTCCAATGCTCTCTTCTTGGAGATCTAATGGGTCTTTGAATGAGGATCCTCCTCTTTCAATACAGTTTCTGCTCCTATTGAAGAAAACCTCCGAAGTGGTACTTGGGGTGCAACTTATTCTAACTCTCTGAAGGACCAGAAACTTATTTTGTACAGCAAATGCTGTTGTTGTTGTTGTTGTGTGCCTCCAAGTCTGGCAACCCTATGGTTGGGTTTTCTGGGCAACATTTGTTCAGAGGAGGTTTGCCGTGGCCTTCCCCGAGGCTGAGAGTGTGTGACTTGCCCAAGGTCACGCAGCGGGTTTCATGGCTGGGCTGAGAATCGAACCCTGGTCTCCGGAGTCCTAGTCCAACGCTCAAACCACTATGCCATGGGAGCAGATATATCATACTGAAGCAGTCAATTGCTTATGGTTGAAAAACTGCATTCTAAAATGACTATGATTGCTCTTTGGGGTCAGACTAGATAGCCACATGGGACTTCTAAAAAAACTTTTTTTCCCTGCTTATTTCTTTTCAGCTAAGACGCATGTAATGTTCCACACTAAGGACAATGTTCCCGTTGTGTAAGCATCCTCTTATGTTCTGTAAACATTTTTCCTGTACTGAAAACAATGTCTGCTTAGCAAAAAAGTGCTGAATATTGGGAAACTAACTGAACTAGAGAGGGAGGAGGGAGTGGTTTTCCTATACGCTGGACATATTTGTAAGATCGCTATAAAAAGATGTACAGTTGCTTAGTTCTGGGCTCACTAAGCACCTTTGGAAAGTTATTTCCGGTTGAGCCCGGTGGCGTAATTTTGTTTTCCCCCGAAATAAAAACTCTCTTTCCTTCAGTCCGCGGTTTCTCTTTGTCCCATTTTTCTGCTACAATACCTTCCAACCTTTCACAGATGGAAAATGGGACACATGAGCTCAAGCAACTTCGGTGTGTGGTCAAGATGGCAAAAGTTATTAATATTAAAGGAAAAATATTAATGGCAAAAGTTATTAATATTAATATTAAAGGAAAAATACAAGGAGAGGCTGCAGCAGTTTGCTTTTGCCCAAGCCAACTGGGAAAGGCTGGTTTTGCCCCTATTGCCCTGTCTCTTCCAGTGGCATCACTAGGGTTGGTAACTCATCATAGGGCCTTATCACACGGGGTCTAAAGCAGTCCCATCCCTGCAC